GGGGGGGGTGGGCACTTTATATGGATGAGGAGGAAAGGGTAATAAACATAAATGCCATTAAGTGGCCAATCATGGGAAAGGAGGGGGGAGCAAAATAAACATGGATGGAAAGCCAATTGTTCATAACATAAGTGGAGGTTCTGGGCTAAAGGAAAAAGGAGCCCTTCCCTCGATCCCCCCATCCCCTCTTAGCTCCACCCCCGGGGGAGAGAACTCTTGGACGGCAAAGGTTGTGGAACGTAGGAAGCCAAAGTTTTTCTTTTATCTCTTCAGATTTGCAACGTATCAAAAAAGAGGAAATGCTTAACAAGAATTTATAAACCTTGGAGTTCAATGAGATATACTGGAGCCATCCATCATAATGATTGCAATGCAAATGGACACATTGGGAAGAATCAGATCATATAACAAGTTATACCAATCACGAGTGAATATGCCAGTGTTTCATGCACATGGGCCCATATACATGTTTACAAAGCACTTTAAGCTCAGCTTGGAAGGAGTACAAATGCAAATATGTAGAGTGCAAAACCTTATATTTTGTATTGTACATATTTGCATTTGTACTTGATGTAGGGAGATTTGGCCCGACCTCGTAGCACGGGGACACGTGGACATGACCTGGTATAAGTGATGACTCAGCGTGACAGCCTGGCCACAACCCGGCGTAACAAGCTCGTCGAAGCCCGAGCAAACGACTCGGCGGGTGTGACAACCCACCAAGAAGCAAGGCCCAGTTCACCCCAAGCCTGAAGGCGGAACTCCCCGAGCTCCCCCGTGCAAGGGGACCCGAGCTCCTCCTAAGGGGCCCCGAGCTCTCCCTTCCTAAGAAGAGAGCTCCCCGGCTTTTGGCTAAGTGTCCCGAGGGAGAAACACCTCGGGGCAGCACCGTCGAGACTCCTGTTAGAACTTGCTTAAGGCTCGCCTCCAGTGCGAGCACCTCGGTGCAAGGCAAATTTGCCCCATGTGGTTCGGTGTATGGTAGCTCGACAGACTGCTGGGAGATCTACCTGACATCCGTACCTACCAGATCCG